CATCTGCAAAACGAAATAGACAGTCCGGTTTTTTGCATCGTGTTTCTTTCTTCAATAGACCGCATCAACTCAAATTCCTAGTTGTCACCTGTGACCTTATGGATTTAGATCTAGCGTTTGTTTAAGTGGTTCATTGTATGACACCCGCTTGTTTCAATCGCATAAACATGTCACTCATTTTAACCATTTCATATTCGTGTTGAACACCAGGTGGAAGATGATGAAAGTCCTGCAGAGGATGAAGTAACTCCCAAAGGATTGGTCACCCCGTTGGGCTCAGCTTCTAATACTACACATACTCTCATGCCCAATGGTGTCGCAAATCCGGTNTCCGGTCTGATTTCCTTGTCATCCAGCACTAGCTCACAATCTACTACTGCATCCCCCATCTCGACCTCAGCGCATCAGTCCAGCCAAGCGAGCGTCTCGCTCCCAGCGATGGCCCTGAGTCAGCCCACCACTTATTTCCCAACAGCGATACAGACAATCCACCGGGGTCCTTGACCGAGTACCGACGAATCTCTTCTTTCTGGAATACTCTTTGTAATTCTGCCCAATCCTTACCTACCTTTCTTTCTGCAAACTCGCTTCCATGTATCACAAATCGGCCTTCACATGTTCGTCCTCGCTTTTCCTCCTACACCGCTCCCGTCTGACCCACTAGTTCGCTGCGGGCGTCTCGTCTCTGTTCTTTCAACCTGTTTACGCACACCCGTCCGTATGTATTATTCACCCCATGTTTCGTTCAATTTGTTTATTCAACCCCGCTCCTTTACTCCATGTTTTCTATCCCATTGTCCTCCCGTATCGCTTTCGCTTTCTGCATCTGACCTCGAACCACATTCAGCCCGTTACATCCAACTTGCTCCTTCCACCAGTCCCCCCGACCGGCCGCTCTTCCCGTGGGCTTGAAAGCTCCGATTTGAACGTCTGGATTACAGTTGCCTTCTCTCTTTAGATTGTCTTTTTGTCTTTAATTTTTCATTGAATTAAACATTCCGAACGGATACTGTTCTCACATCGTCTGTACGTTCTCATTTTGCTTGCCCGTTCGTTCGTCTGATTGGTTGACTGGCTGGCTGGCTAAACTACACTGCACAGCCGAACCCTTTCGCTTGCCTGGGTTGATGCGACTGGCATGAGAAATTTATAGGTTTGCCTTTGTGATCCAAAACGAAATAATTACAAACCCGGTAGACGATTCACCATGCAGGTAGAGAATATATTGTCCTGGATGTCCTAGATGTTGAATTTCGTCGAACGGAAAGTAATTATTCACAGAATGGAGGATGTTCCATAAGCTGGGTGACGCTTTTCACAAGTTTCGTATCGTAGCACTAACAGAGGAAGGGGGATTAATATATAGGACAGTAAAATCCGGGCTGAATAGTTATGATGGATGACAGTAAATAACAAGAATAACAACAATTTGTGTGTGTCTTATCGTACATGTTTTGAGTGTTAATTTGTCTTTTTTTACGGGGCATGGGATTTCAGCAGGTGAACCGCACACCATTCACGCCACTGACTTCCATCCTGGGCCGTATCTCTTAGAGATGCGAACTAACGATAATCCCCATCCCTTGGACCCCAACTTGGAGTGGAGACTGCACTAACTGAAGCCAAATCTGAAGAGAACGGCTAACAACAGCCAACACACGACAATGAGCCTCATCATTGCTCACCCGGTGTTCCCGCCAGACATGAGCAATGCTTCGGAGACATCGGTGGTCGAATACAGAAAGTCGATTAGCATCCTCCGCTCGGAGAGGCCAGGTCTCGCAACCGTAAAGTAGAACACTGCGAACTGCGGCGATGTCCACCCTTCCCTTAAGAGACAGTTGGATGTCATGGTGGCGATATAGGTGTCGTAGGTTGGCGAAAGCTACTCTAGCTTTCGATATTCAGCTGCGATCAAGCTCCCGAGGTACTTAAAACTTTCAACTACTTCTAGCTGATCACCACAGAGGGTGAGTACAGGCACAGGCTCCTGCCAGCCTTGAACCAGCACTTTGATGGTGCAAAGCATACCATACCTGGATACCTCGATCGCCAAGCGGTTCGAAGTGCAGATTGCTGAAAGCTGTTCTGACTTTCGCTTCTGTACTCTGAGCTAAGTTTATGTTTAGTATTTGCTCTTTGCAGTGTAATTTCTGCGACGGTCTATAAATTGAGACCAATAAAATTTCCTGTATTTTTCTCTAATGGGCGGGTATTGTGAGCTGTCTCAATCCTGTCCACGAGTCGGCCTCGTATGGCATTACCTCGAGGATTGGCCCATTTTTAGGTGCTGGTGCCCAGTGATAACGTCACCAAATTATCAGCCCGTGAGGTGCGTGTTCGAATCCCACCTCCACCGCCTAACTTTCACCACTTGTGTATTGTATGGCAGCCCTTTGATTGGCCACTTCTCCCTACCTGAAAATTGTATCATTATGTATTCCGTGAAAAGAAATGAAATTAGAAAGACTGAAAAAAAAATCAATTTACATTTGCGACTCACAACTACTTGTCAATAGTAGTAGCGTGGGATGAGTGTTTTTTTCATTATGACTAACCTGAAGTGGTCCTCAACCAAGTGGTTCATCAAACCGAAAATACACCGCCAACATCATCCACTGGGCTTGGTGCCTGTGAAAAAATCGAATGGACTAATCCAAACATTCCTTTGTCTAAGTATACACTGTTGAGTAAAGATTTCAGCTGCGGTTGATTTGCACTTTTAACCGAGCAGACTTTGTTACAAATGGCAAATCGAGAGGTCACGGTTCACAGACCTGTTCTCGCACGCACACAGACACCGAATGGTCCGTGTATTTGATGAGGAAAGCCCACCGCTTCGTTTGGACCGTCCGCTGCGCGTAAGCAACAACTCACCGTTGTCAGTCCCCGTAACTTGAACTCAATATAGTTGGTGACAAAACGCATTTGGTTTGGCTCAGCGCATCCCAATTTCGGATTTTTAACCGGAGTGTGCTTCCATCAGAACACCTGAATTCCCCTTCCCCCCCACACACGTGTAAAATTGATATTTTCGCTGAGTCCCTCGACGAAGGGAGAAAACAGTCGCAACAGACTATAGATGATAGGCTCAGTGAACACGGGTGTGTTAGCGAAATGCGCTTAAGTCACTCTGCAAATTCCACACACGTCTCGACCAATCTGATCTTTACCTCGCCAGCCCACTGAACAATTTGTATCGGTGGCGGGACGGGCGAGACCACGAGTGCTGCTATGTGAAAACTGTCGATCTAATTTGCCAGTTGAAAGCTGGGGCTTGAAGATACCAGCATTTGTGCCTTATTTCCCTACTACTCTGTGGTCAATAGCTATTTTCTGAACCTATTTGTTCTATTCTAAACCGACCCAGTTGGAAGAAAATGCTCAACCAGTTTCTTGTTTGTCAGGGGTGAGACGCTTGAATCTTCCGCATGTTTCCGGAAAACGCAGCCCGTCTGCTCATTGAGCCAAACCAAATGCGCCAAATGCCACCAGTTATATTGAGTCCATCTTGCAACGACTGACTAAGTTGTTGCTTGCGCACAGCGGACGGTCCAAACGAAGAGGTGGGCTTTTCTCGCCAAATGCACAGATCATTCGGTGTGTGCGTGAACTGCGATCACGGTTGGTCATTTGGGACACAGTCTCCTCGGTTAATAGTGGAAATGAGCCCTAGCCAAAATCTCTACTCAACAGTGTGTTTCCAGGTTGATGAATCACCGCGTGGTCGAATCATTTGCATTTAGGTTTCGTGGTTTTGGAGAAGACATGTACTGGGTGAAATTATTGTGAACTGGGTCGGTTGAGTCGGGCAGATAGAACATGGATGGTTGCAACACGTTTCCTATGAAATTGTTTTCCCGCTGTGAGGGGAGCGGGTTGTGATACAACTTTCATGGATCTATGCACAATGCCCAATTTGTGTGTGAAGACCAACAGTGATGGTAGGAGTGCGATGCACCCCGGCATTTTAATATACGATCTCGTATTAGGAACGTGCTGAGGTCTTCAGAAAGACTGAATTCAAACAACTGATCTGTGGTTCGAAATAAATCAGATCTCAGGGAACGGAAATCACTCCTAATTGCAGTNTCCGTGACAAGGTTAATCTAGAGTTTACCTCTAGTCTTAAGCACAGCAACAAAAAACGAAAGAATGAAGGGACACGTTGAAGCGTTCTGGGACAACGAGGAGAAGAGCTGGATCGGGTTTTCATTTTTCTTATCCCATCGTTTATGTTCGCTCCAGGAGTACCATCAATCAGGTGATCTACCAAAAAGCTCACCGCAATAGTTGATCGAGTTTTATCCGGTTATTTTCTCCCTGCTTCCTCCACCTGTTTTTCAGGCCTAGTCAGAATTATGTGGATTCTGTAAGTGTTGATGTGTATGTGTGTGCGTGCGTGCATGCATTTCATGACATGGCATTTCTGTGGAGCCACACACATTTCAAACTGTACGTGGTCTTGGTCTCGTGCATTTTGATCTGCCTGTTCATTGGTGAATGGCTCTACCCCTGCTGGTGTTTGAAGGCCTGGCCGAAAATCGCTGTGCCGTAGGTCGACTGTGCGTTTAATCCAACCGGTCCCCTACCTATCCAGTGATAAAGACGAAGTTCGAATACTGCTTGTTGCGGATCCACACGTTCAAGTTTACCATTCGTTATGGTACTACTTGGAATTTGTGGCTATTGTGGACAGTGATTGGTGAGTCCAACCCGTGTCACAATTGTCCTTATCTTAGGTACCTTCGGCGGTACTTTGACAACGCCATTCATTGGATTCAACCATCCCTGGTTGTATTCCTGGGCGATCTAATCGATGAGGGAAGTACTGCTCCAACAAATGCCTTATTCGATGCGTTTGATCGATTCGAACGCATTTTTATGCGCTCCGGTGCATATTTGCCGGTATGTTCCACTTAACGCCACTCATCATTTTGCTTGTCCACAGACGTTTCTCGTCCCCGGGGATAATGATGTGGGTGGGGAACGAGAGGATCAACTGACCGAGGAAAAAATGGCCCGATTTCGCGCTCATTTTGTCTCGTATCCACGAACAAGACGTGTGGAATTTGTGCGACTGTTTGTGGTAGGCTATGACCGTTTTTCTCACTCACGCACCCTTTCTCTCTCTCTCATTGTCTTCATTCTAAAGGATCCCCTGAACACCAAGTGGATTAGTCCACGGTTTGCCTCTAATCAGTCCGAGTTGATCTCTGTATTTGTGTCGCATTTTCCGATGGTCACTCCGTACGGGATGGACCCGTCCCCGGTAAGTTGTCACTTGCGTGCACCGCATGTACATGTCTGTTTATGTTATTTTGTCGTCTTCATCGCCTTCGTACCTCACTCCTGTCCGCGCCCTCTCTCTCTCTCTCTCTCTCTCTCTACCCGTTTGTTTATTTCAGTCCCTTTTGCGAAGTGAACCGTCTCTGATAATCAACGGTCATGATCATGTGGTGAGTTGAGTTGCACATGTTGTCTCTAATATTATGGACGTAGGTGTGTGCATGTATGTGTGCTGTACTGCCCATTGTATTCCGACGGTTCGCATCTCCTGTTCCGGGACCAAATTTGGCTCTTCATATGCTCTGTAGACAGCAGTCAGGTAGAGATGCCAATAGGATAAGTAAGAATTTGAACCATTGACCTGGCTATTCGACCAGTAGGAGTTTTATTTAGGGTCAAATTGTAGTACATCTCGTGTGAAAAAGCTGAAGTACGAAATTATTCGACAACCGGATTTCCTGGAGCACTTGCACCCGGGCAACAATATAGACACGATGTGACGGACCACGAATTGGGTATCTCAATTCAGTTCAAGTGAGATACCAAATGAAAACAGTTCAGATTGAAGTTGCGATAAGGCTTTGATCATTTCAGAGGCATCTGACCCATAGGGGTATTCCGATGTACCTGGTTCTATGTGCCGTAGTTCTTATTTGAGGAATTTCGTCATCATGTATTCTATCTCGATTGCTTAAATCCAGATTAGTCATATTCACACCCACATCGAAAATCATCAAGGGTGCCTTGTGCCCCTGCAAAATCGAATGAACTAATCCAAATTCGATCGATACTTTAACTATTCACGAATTGTTTTTCATCAGGGTTACGTCCTGGAATGGGAGAAGAACAGTTCAACGATTGATCGAATTGCCTGGCTAGTTCCACCCGAAGGACATTCACTCTATACTACTCCATTTCGAACCGATTTGAACCGGTCATTACACAATGGACTGACTGGTCGAGAAGGTCGACTGGTCCAGTTCGGTGTCCCCTCATGTTCCTATCGATCCGGTCATTCGTATTTGACCGCCTACGGTCTGCTTCGACTCTATCGAAATCGAACTGTCACCTATCAGCTTCTCGCTTTGCCGAATCGATGGACTATTCTGTTATGCTACGCATGTTTGATTTGTTTCCTAATTGTTCTACGTGTGGCCTGTACAAAACGACGACTAAAATGCTGGCTTGGTTCGGTCGGATTCGGTCTGGCCTTGTCTACTCCCGTGTTGTTCACGTTCGCCTGTTTCTTCGTGATTCCGTTCTAATCCCATTTGTTTTTTTATAATCGTTATCCGTATTCCTTTTTACCATGATTATTTTGATTATTTTTACACAAATAATAATCGGGTCATACATTTGTTATTTTTGTTTTTCATTATCCAGTTGATCATTTACTAGTCTATTGAGCAGACTAGAAAGGCGGTTAGATTGCGTGTTCTATTATGCGGCCATGTGTGGCTGAGCGCAAGTCTTGTTTTGTGTCGGTTGTACAACCCAGCAGCTATCTTCCGGTGGTGTACAATTTAACCAGCCTCGTTTTTGGAATGAGGAAGTCAGAAACATGGGTTTGTACTATGATGTATCCACCATGGTCATTTCGCTGCATCTCTGTACACACACACACACACATGCATGCTGCAGTCAGTGATTTTTTTTATATAGTCAGTGAGATAACTACCGTGAGATGAGGATATGATTGCATTCATCGCCAAACATTGCAAAGTAACACCAATAGTAGAAAAACCTTTAACTGCTCCCAAAATGAAAGCGTTTTTGAAGTTATCATACAAAGGCGATGACGTGATTGAATTAGTCAGCAAGCGGTTGAACTCTGCCGTCAAGCGGATCTATTACGCAGTTGACCCGGTCATTGTCTTCACTACCATCCGGATACCAACGACATCGGTGAAAGAACCATTGCCTCCCTCCGCCAAATCAAAATGCATTTACCAATTCAAGTGTGGATGGTCAGCCATCTATATAGACAGGGCAGAGAGTCAGTTACGTCACCGAATGGCCGACCACATCCCGGTGTGGCTTAAGAAAGCGATGGACGACAAGTTCAAAATTGTTAAGTCATCGAATGAGCAGAAAAGACTTGGATCTTCGATAACACAGCAATTATTCGAACTAAAACACGCTGTCATTCCAACCCACGCATTCCAAGTCATCTACAACACATCAAACGCAAAGTTAAGGAAATTTGCCGAGGCCATTCATAGCCATTCATACCCTCAAACTCGATCTACGCAAACAACGTGAATGGTTAATCACATTAACTTTGCCTTGGTGATTAACCCCCTCTACCCACTCCCGTTCTTTGTGTTACTGTGTCATGTTATGCGTTGCGATTAGCAATCATGTCTTCATCTCACGGTAGTTATTTCACTGACTATATAAGAAATCACTTTGATTGCAGCATGCATGTGTGTACAGAGATGCAGCGAAATGACCATGGTGGATACATTGTGAAAACTCATGTTTATTCAAATCTGTGACGGGGAAACATTGTTTTCGGTCTCAGTTTCCTCAGACCTCTGTATTTTGTATTTTTTGTATTTATATAACTGGTGTAAGCACATATGCTTACATTTCAGTTAAAAATGTACTCCATTCGTCACGCAGAATGGAATAATAATAGAAACGTAAGGAAAAAATGTTGGTGATATTTGTTTCATGTACAAAACCTCGGACATAGTTCATTTGAGACCTGTTCCTTTTTGGTAAGTAGTCGGGCCAGGTAGGGTACAGGGGAAATTTTATAAACGTTAATGCGAGAGGGTAGATATCAAAATGAGGAGCGTGTGGATGGATGGGAACAACAAGACGATAGATCAGGATGTAGTGGATAAAGAGGGTCATCGAGAATCTTATGAGCAAATTTAAAACAAGAGTTGATGTAACCATCAATGAGATCTGTGATTTATGCATCGATCGGAATTAATGATGCACGACTGATCATCAAACCACGGCGAATTGTTTTGAAGTCGTGTTTTAAAAGACTGGGAAACACTAGAGGAGAACAATAGGGAAGAATCGATGAAACGCTTTGAATTGGGTAAGTCACACACATTGGGAGCAGAATCGATATTGATCACCATAATTTCCTGTGCTTTCAATGACCACATTGAATAGGTTGGATTGTTGTAAGAATAGTACCGTGTACAAACATTTACATAAGCTTGTGTTGGTTCAAGCAGGAAATAATGGGTTGTTCAGTCATAATCCAAAGCCACTTGGAAATGAATGAACCAGGAGTGGAGTGGAGGGAGGCAATGGATCACAGAGTTAGAAAAAAAGAGATGTTAGCATAAAATATGGTTGGGTAATGGAAACGGATTCAGCCCGAATGAAGGCAAGCGGAAAATCTAGATCAAATCAAACGTAATGGACTAGAAGATCGGTCAATCAAGTGGCTCAAATGAGTTGCGTAATGCTGAAATGAGAGGGATAAAATGTCAACGATGGGATAGAGGAAAGATTGAGATGAGGGAAGGCTTGGTGCGAAAAATTACCATGATAGTAACAATTGCATCATGAAGGGCTTTCATTTGTGAATGCCAGGCTTCACTCGGTCTTTGAAGACTACACATCTATAGAATGGCCCGTGACAAGAATGTTACAACAATCGCACGTAAACTAGCTACCGTCAAATCATGCACTAGTCAGTGTCTGAATGCGGTTTTTCAAAAGGTGAGCGCAAGCTTTTCACTCTTACTGTACGGCGAAGCTTCGTATGGTTTTTGCGATTGCTCCTTTAGCCATGATTAGTGATCTTGAATTCTGGTACCATCAATCTAAAGCTGCTTCACAATAAAGGAGATGCCTACAAATAAGCATGATGGTTTTGTAGGTGGGCTAGATGCCACTAACCGCAACAAACGTGACTTGACTGTCTTTAAAGAATCTTTCGTAATAAGCAGTATATGAATGACTAAACAAATCCATGGGAGTACGAGGCCGATTTCGTGTTTCTTTCCACTCGTCAGGCATGCGTATCCGGTAAACTTTTGTCAGTTCATTCTTATGCTTGTACCTACAAAACATCGAATCATAACATTCGTTCTTTAATGGACTAGCTCCAAAAGAGTTGTCCATCCAAAATTACCCGATGTCGCAAATGAGGTTATTGTGACGAAAATACGCTTCCTGGGTACATATATATGAATGAACTAGCCAAAGATTACCGGATGCGCACACCTGACGAGCCGCGACACCGGTAGTGTGATTCCATGGGAATTTTTTCCAGTTATTCATGTACTGGTTATACATATGTATATATATATATATTATATCTTCACTTCAGTATACATATACATATACTTCAGTATGTACTCTGTGTATTGACCATAGAGGTTCGCCTTTTTTATCAGTTCCTAAAAACAGGCCAAATCCCTGTCCTCTTACACACTCTCACTTACCTTGTATACACTACAAGTTTGGTAACGATCAGTGAAGTTCTCTCCGTTGACCGAATTAAGCCTCAAAATAAATAAACTTTGTGTCAGTCCGGTATTATAAGCGTACATGTCCGACTCCCGACACGTTAGATACCAACGTTCATTGTTCAATACGATAAAGCAATCACGACTGATTTGATTCCGGAATTAGTTTGGACCACGGAAAAGCTGTTCATAGTTGGATTCCACGCATGTGTCATGACAATCCACTGCGATTCTCGTCGTTCTTCGTACTTCAATTAGGGTGCTTTTTGTGTACAATACAAACGTTTACTGAACAACAAGGTATGAGAGGGGTACTTTGAAAATAACGGTGTATGACTGCTTCACTGGAAGTAGCCTTCATCAAGTCATCATGCTGTTCACAAATTTTCCGGGCTTCGGCAAAAG